TGGGCAGTGTTAGTCTATGGGTAATGTTAGTCTATGTGCAGTGTGAGTCTATGGGCAGTGTTAGTCTATGGGCAGTGTTAGTCTATGGGCAGTGTTAGTCTATGGGCAGTGTTAGTCTATGGGCAGTGTTAGTCTATGGGCAATGTTAGTCTGTGGGCAATGTTAGTCTGTGGGGCAGTGTTAGTCTATGGGCAGTGTTAGTCTATGGGTAATGTTAGTCTATGGGCAGTGTTAGTCTATGGGCAGTGTTAGTCTATGGGCAGTGTTAGTCTATGGGCAGTGTTAGTCTATGGGCAGTGTTAGTCTATGGGCAGTGTTAGTCTATGGGCAGTGTTAGTCTATGGGCAGTGTTAGTCTATGGGCAGTGTTAGTCTACGGGTAATGTTAGTCTACGGGTAGTGTTAGTCTATGGGTAATGTTAGTCTATGGGTAATGTTAGTCTATGGGTAGTGTTAGTCTATGGGCAGTGTTAGTCTATGGGCAGTGTTAGTCTACGGGTAATGTTAGTCTACGGGTAGTGTTAGTCTATGGGCAGTGTTAGTCTATGGGTAATGTTAGTCTATGGGTAGTGTTAGTCTATGGGTCAGTGTTAGTCTATGGGTAATGTTAGTCTATGGGTAGTGTTAGTCTATGGGCAGTGTTAGTCTATGGGTAATGTTAGTCTATGGGTAGTGTTAGTCTATGGGTCAGTGTTAGTCTATGGGTAATGTTAGTCTATGGGTAGTGTTAGTCTATGGGTAATGTTAGTCTATGGGTAGTGTTAGTCTATGGGCAGTGTTAGTCTATGGGTAATGTTAGTCTATGGGTAGTGTTAGTCTATGGGTAATGTTAGTCTATGGGTAGTGTTAGTCTATGGGCAGTGTTAGTCTATGGGTAATGTTAGTCTATGGGTAGTGTTAGTCTATGGGCAGTGTTAGTCTATGGGTCAGTGTTAGTCTATGGGCAATGTTAGTCTATGGGCAGTGTTAGTCTGTGGGCAATGTTAGTCTATGGGCAGTGTTAGTCTGTGGGCAGTGTTAGTCTATGGGTAATGTTAGTCTATGGGCAGTGTTAGTCTATGGGCAGTGTTAGTCTACGGGTAATGTTAGTCTATGGGTAGTGTTAGTCTATGGGTAATGTTAGTCTATGGGTAATGTTAGTCTATGGGTAGTGTTAGTCTATGGGCAGTGTTAGTCTATGGGCAGTGTTAGTCTACGGGTAATGTTAGTCTATGGGTAGTGTTAGTCTATGGGCAGTGTTAGTCTATGGGTAATGTTAGTCTATGGGTAGTGTTAGTCTATGGGTCAGTGTTAGTCTATGGGTAATGTTAGTCTATGGGTAGTGTTAGTCTATGGGCAGTGTTAGTCTATGGGTAATGTTAGTCTATGGGTAGTGTTAGTCTATGGGTCAGTGTTAGTCTATGGGTAATGTTAGTCTATGGGTAGTGTTAGTCTATGGGTAATGTTAGTCTATGGGTAGTGTTAGTCTATGGGCAGTGTTAGTCTATGGGTAATGTTAGTCTATGGGTAATGTTAGTCTATGGGTAGTGTTAGTCTATGGGTCAGTGTTAGTCTATGGGTAATGTTAGTCTATGGGTAGTGTTAGTCTATGGGTAATGTTAGTCTATGGGTAGTGTTAGTCTATGGGTAATGTTAGTCTATGGGTAGTGTTAGTCTATGGGTAATGTTAGTCTATGGGTAGTGTTAGTCTATGGGCAGTGTTAGTCTATGGGTAATGTTAGTCTATGGGTAGTGTTAGTCTATGGGTAATGTTAGTCTATGGGTAGTGTTAGTCTATGGGCAGTGTTAGTCTATGGGTAATGTTAGTCTATGGGTAGTGTTAGTCTATGGGCAGTGTTAGTCTATGGGTCAGTGTTAGTCTATGGGCAATGTTAGTCTATGGGCAGTGTTAGTCTGTGGGCAATGTTAGTCTATGGGCAGTGTTAGTCTGTGGGCAGTGTTAGTCTATGGGTAATGTTAGTCTATGGGCAGTGTTAGTCTATGGGCAGTGTTAGTCTATGGGTAATGTTAGTCTATGGACAATGTTAGTCTATGGACAATGTTAGTCTATGGACAATGTTAGTCTGTGGACAATGTTAGTATCATCTTCGCTGAACCTCATCATGGCTTAACAACCTCACCACCACCATCACCACGAGACGCCCACACGAGCCCGACCAGCCTGGAGGGCACCGCCCCTGGGTGGGGTGGTGGGCGGGGGGTCGCTCGCACAAAGCCGGCAGGCGATCTAGGCAAGGCCGCGGCGTCTCTGTGGCCTACTAAATAGCCGTTGAACCACGTGGGTGGGTGGACACGCTGTTCAATTTGCTATTGGCTTGGCATCTTCTTGGTTCTTTCGGTAAAGTCATGACGTAGAAGGGAAGTAATAAAATAAAAAAAATAAAACATAATAAAATTATTCTCACAACGTTTCGGCCACAACGCAAGCAGCCGTCCTCAGGTGAAAACCAGGTCCGTCGAGGCGACAGAGTCTGAATGTGTCGCTTCGACGGACCTGGTTTTCACCTGAGGACGGCTGCTTGCGTTGTGGCCGAAACGTCGTGAGAATAATTCTATTATGTTTTATTTTTATTATTTTATTACTTCCCTTCTACGTGACTTTACCGAAAGAACCAAGAAGATGAATCCCTGCAGTCACGAAAGCTTTAAATCAAAATATTGGCTTGGCACTTGCCACAGTTGTGAATTGATTGTGAATTGATGTATTGTGAATTGATTGTGAATTGATTCATTGTGAATTGATTCATTGTGAATGAATGAATTGTGAATTGATTCATTGTGAATTGATTCATTGTGAATGAATTGTGAATTGATTTAATTGTGAATTTATTGTGAATTGATTCATTGTGAATTAATTGTTAATTGATTTCATTGTGAATTGATTGTGAATTGATTCATTGTGAAGTGATTCATTGTGAATGAATTGTGAATTGATTTAATTGTGAATTTATTGTGAATTGATTCATTGTGAATTAATTGTTAATTGATTTCATTGTGAATTGATTGTGAATTGATTCATTGTGAAGTGATTCATTGTGAATTAATTGTGAATCGATTTCATTGTGAATTTATTGTGAATTGATTCATTGTGAATTAATTGTGAATTGATTCATTGTGAATTCATTGTGAATTGATTCATTGTGAATTGATTCATTGTGAATTAATTGTGAATTGATTTCATTGTGAATTTATTGTGAATTGATTCATTGTGAATTAATTGTTAATTGATTTCATTGTGAATTTATTGTGAATTGATTCATTATGCTCTAATTGGCACTGCTAAAGTTGTGAATTAATTCATTATTAATTGGTTGTAAATTTGATTTTGTTTTTTAATTGGCAATGTCAAGTTGTGAATTGATGTATTGTGAATTGATTGTGAATCGATTTATTTTTGGCTTGGCACTGCCAAGTTGTGAATTAATTGATTGTGAAGTTATATTCTTGTGAATTGATTGTGAACCGATTTGGAATTTACTTCTTGCGAATTTATTGTGAACTGATTGTGAATCCATGTATTTTTAAATCCTTTATATTAAGTTTGCTTGCTTGCTTTCGACCGTGCAAATCTTTCGGTCGTTTTTTAACCCACTTCCCGTGATCCAATCGAGCCGACATGTTGCACACAGACTCGTTGTGCGTGACAATTAATGTTCGTGAAAAAATTTTCCCAAAATTTTACACTTTTTAGGACAAAAATATTATATTTAATTACCAATTGCTTAATGGTGCAATGCAATCATCTGACCCATCAGGTGGCAGCCATCTCAAGCCAGAGGACGAGAGGACTCTAGCCGCCACGCATATAAAGGATTTATAGTGAAAAACTTAGTTTTTACTGGTTATACTTTGGCTCGGCACTGCCAAGATTTTTTTTTTCATTCATTTCTTTGCGAACGTGTCGGCAAATCTCAAAAAGCCCCCTTCGATCAAGGATCAACTTGCCAAGACCACGGCAAACACTCGAATCCCGTTTGCGGCCCACCAACCCTGCAACCCGCCCCGGGCCATCCTCCCTCCCACGTCTAGGTCGGCTCGGCCTTAAATGAGCACTGCACCTGGTGAGCGACACTGCAAAGTTGGACGTGCAAAGCTGCGATGCAGCACGTGGGGTGAGTGTGGCTGCAGTGGGTGTGGTGAGTGCGGCTGCAGTGGTGAGTATGGTGAGTGTGGTGAGTGTGGCGAGTGTGGTGAGTGTGGTGAGTGCGGTTCCAGTGGTGAGTGTGGTGAGTGCGGTGAGTGTGGTGAGTGCAGTTGCAGTGGTGAGTGTGGTGAGTGCGGTGAGTGTGGTGAGTGCAGTTGCAGTGGTGAGTGTGATGAGTGCGGTGAGTGTGGTGAGTATGGTGAGTGCGGTGAGTGTGGCGAGTGTGGTGAGTGCAGTTGCAGTGGTGAGTGTGGTGAGTGCGGTGAGTGTGGTGAGTGCAGTTGCAGTGGTGAGTGTGGTGAGTGCGGTGAGTGCGGTTGCAGTGGTGAGTGTGTGGTGAGTGTGGTGAGTGCGGTTGCAGTGGTGAGTGTGGTGAGTGTGGTGAGTGCGGTGAGTGTGGTGAGTGCGGTTGCAGTGGTGAGTGTGGTGAGTGTGGTGAGTGTGGTTGCAGTGGTGAGTGTGGTGAGTGCGGCTGCAGTGGTGGGCGTGTGGTGAGTCTGTGTGGTGAGTCTGTGTGGTGAGTGAGTGGTGTGTGTGTGTGGTGAGTCTGTGTGTCTCTGTGAGGTGAGTCTAAGGTGAGTCTGTGTGGTGAGTCTGTGTGGTGAGTCTGTGAGGTGAGTCTGTGTGGTGAGTGAGTGGTGTGTGTGTGTGGTGAGTCTGTGTGTCTCTGTGAGGTGAGTCTGTAAGGTGAGTCTGTGTGGTGAGTCTGTGTGTGGTGAGTCTGTGTGTCTCTGTGTGGTGAGTGAGTGGTGTGTGTGTGTGGTGAGTCTGTGTGGTGAGTCTGTGTGTGGTGAGTGCGGCTGCAGTGCTGGGCATGGGGTGAATGCGGCTGCAGTGCCAAGTCGCGCCCCTCTCACCTTCTTGTTGCGGGCACCGGACAGGAGGCAGGACTTGCTCAGGCGCTGGTAGCCGCCGATCACCTCGATCTCGTCGGCCGGCGGGAACCGCTTCTTTACCAGCTGACCGAGCGGCGTGTGGGTGTTCTCCAACACCCTCGGCGTCGGCGTCGGGGTCCCAGCGTCCACCTCGGCGCGACCCGCGTCCGGGACCGCCGGCTTCCGCGGCGCCGGCGTGATCCGGTAGGAATTGCCCGGCTCCTTGGTAATGGTGGCACCCCCCGATGCCCTGTTGCCGATGCCGCGCTTGATGCGGATGCCCGGGCTGTCCGGCGGTCCTAGGATCACGTCGTCGATGTTCGACTTGGGCAGCGGCGCGTCCCGCGTCGCGTCTTCCGCGGCGTAGGCCGGGGAAGGCCCGAGGGGGCTCCTGGCGGGCGGAGGGGAGGCCGGAGGGACGGGCGAAGGGGCCGCCGACGCCGACGCCGAACGGCCCGACGGAGGTGACAGCGGCGCGCGGTGCGGCAGGGGCGGAATGGCGGCGGCCGGCCGCCGAAAGGTGGGGGACGAGACGACGGGCGGCCTGGGAGAAAGGGGAGGAGGCGGTGGCGATTCCGGCACCGGGGCGGCAGCTGTCGGCGCAGACTTGCCGTTCGGCCCGGGGTTCGAGTCGGGCATCGGCTCCCTGCCCCGCGCGTCGGCGGTCCGTTCGGCGGCCACCGCGACGGCCGCCCCGCCGGCGGGCTGGCGGGGCTTGGGGATGACGGTGATGGAGTAGCCGGACTCGCGGCGGAGAATGTTGAGGGCCTGCGCCTGCCTGTCCCCGGACGAGGCCACGTCGGCCAGGTCCGGTCGTACCGCCGGACGGATCTCAAAGTTAGGCCCCGACAGGACGCGGGGGCCGCGTGCCGTGGGCAACGGCAACAGCGGCGGGTCGGGGCCTCGCACCGACGACGAGGAGGTGGAATGGAGGTCGAGGGAGGTGGATGTCCAGGATTTCAAGCCCTGGGTCGTTGCGGGCGGCGACGCTTTGGCGGGCGACGCCGGCGGCGGCGGCCGCGGCAGCTCGTAGCTCCGGACCGTCGGGGATTTTGGCCTCGTCGCCGAACCGGCACCGCGCGGCCCGGGCCTACCGCCGGGAAGCGACGGTTTGAGCCGATCCGGCGACCTCGGGGAGGCGTTCCCGGCGGACGCGGCCGGCGGGTGCAGGCCGGCGATCTTCTCCGGGTGCACGGTGAACGAATTCTTTGACCGCGGCGTGAAGGGGCTGCCCGGCTCCTCGGCGGCGCCGTCGCGAGGCGAGACGAGGCCCGGCTCCCGGCCCGTGGCGCCGTTGGCCAGGAAACCCTCCGAGCGGCCCCCGCCGGGCGACGGCGGCGGCGGCAGCAGCAGCGGCGGCGGCGGCGGCAACGTCGGCCGAGAACGCGGGCGGCTCGCCGCGACCGTGGCGGACTTGCGAGCGCGCGGGGCCCCGTCCGGCGAGCCGTGCCGCTTGCCCCGGGGCGTCCCACCCCCCCCGCCCCCCCGCTCGTCGTCGCCCCCCCTCAGCAGGTCGTCAGCGCTGGCCGACCGCCTCGGCCCCCACGTGTTGCCGGGCTCCCTGGAGCGGCCGCGGGGCCCGTCGAACCTCGACAGGAGGCTGCTGACGCGGCCCTGGAGCGTGAAGCCGCCCCCCCCGTCGTTGCTGTCGGCGGGCGAACGGGCCTCCTCACCGTCGTCCCGACCGTCGCGGATCACCAGGACCTCCCGGGCATTGATCGTGGCCGTGACCGGAGGGCCGCCGGCGCTGGCAGCGGCGGCCGACCCCGCCGCCGGCACCGCCGGTTTAGTCCGCTGCAGGTAGTAGTCCGGGTCGGACTCGATGATGATGATGTTGTCGGCACGGATGGTGCGGATGCCCGGGATGTGGCTGTAGAGCTCCAGCAGCGGGTCCTGGGCCGGCGAAGAGGCCCGCGCGGCCCCCGGGCCCAGGCCGAGGCCGCCGGCGGTGGAGCGCCGGTCTCGCTCGCGCGTCACGAAGGGGTTCTCGCGTACCGGACGGAGCTTCTCCTGCAGAACCAGCACCTCGCTGGCACCGCCGGCGCCATCCGACGCGCCCGTCGAATCGTGGTCATCGTGGTGGTGGTGATGGTGGCGGTGAACGTAGTGGTTGTCCTGATGTTGGTGGTGTTGGTGGTGGTCGTTTTCCTGTTGACGATGCTGCTGCTGATGATGATGATTCTGCTGCTGATATTGCTGCTGCTGATGATGATTCTGCTGCTGGTATTGCTGCTGCTGATGTTGCTGCTGCTGATGCTGCTGCTGAAGCTGCTTCTGCTGCTGATGTTGCTGCTGATGATGATGCTGCTGCTTCTGTTGCTGCTGATGCTGCTGCTGATGTTGCTGATGCTGCTTCTGCTGGAGGTGGTGGTTTTCCTGTTGACGCTGCTGCTGATTCTGGCATTGCTGATGCTGCTTCTGCTGCTGCTGCTTCTGCTGCTTCTGCTGCTGCTGATGCTGCTTCTGCTGCTGCTGCTGATGCTGCTTCTGCTGCTGCTGCTTCTGCTGCTGCTGATGAAGGTGGTGGCTCAAGATGTCGGGCACCCCCTTCCTCCTCCTGCGGTCCAGGAGTTCACGTTTCCACAGCGGCTGCTGCTGTTGCTGTGGGGTCATCTCCTCCACAGCGTCCCGCGGCCGGAGAGACATCGTGATGTGTCTACCCGTGTGTGTGTCTCAGTGTGTCTCCCCGTGTGTGTCTCACTGTGTCTCAGTGTGTGTCTCTCAGTGTGTGTCTCCGTGTGTCTCTCACTGTGTCTCGGTGTCTCAGTGTGTGTCTCTCAGTGTGTGTCTCCGTGTGTCTCAGTGTCTCTCTCCGTGTCTCAGTGTCTCAGTGTCTCTCTCCGTGTCTCAGTGTCTCAGTGTCTCTCCCCGTGTCTCAGTGTCTCTCTCCGTGTCTCAGCGTCTCCGTGTCTCCATTTCTCAGTGTCTCCGTGTCTCCGTGTCTCAGTGTCTCAGTGTCTCCGTGTCTCCGTGTCTCCGTGTCCCCGTGTCTCAGTGTCTCAGTGTCTCTCCCCGTGTCTCAGTGTCTCTCTCCGTGTCTCAGTGTCTCAGTGTCTCTCCCCGTGTCTCAGTGTCTCTCTCCGTGTCTCAGCGTCTCCGTGTCTCCATTTCTCAGTGTCTCCGTGTCTCCGTGTCTCAGTGTCTCAGTGTCTCCGTGTCTCCGTGTCTCCGTGTCCCCGTGTCTCAGTGTCTCAGTGTCTCTCCCCGTGTCTCAGCGTCTCAGTGTCTCTCTCAGTGTCTCAGCGTCTCAGTGTCCCCGTGTCTCCATTTCTCAGTGTCCCCGTGTCTCCGTGTCTCAGTGTCCCAGTGTCTCTCTCCGTGTCTCAGTGTCTCTCTCCGTGTCTCAGTGTCCCCATTTCTCAGTGTCCCCGTGTCCCCGTGTCTCCGTGTCTCAGTGTCTCAGTGTCTCTCTCCGTGTCTCAGTGTCTCTCTCCGTGTCTCAGTGTCCCCGTGTCTCCATTTCTCAGTGTCCCCGTGTCTCCGTGTCTCCGTGTCTCAGTGTCTCAGTGTCTCTCTCCGTGTCTCCGTGTCTCAGTGTCTCTCTCCGTGTCTCAGTGTCCCCGTGTCTCCATTTCTCAGTGTCCCCGTGTCTCAGTGTCTCAGTGTCTCTCTCCGTGTCTCAGCGTCTCTCAGCGTCTCAGTGTCTCCGTGTTTCCGTGTCTACGCGACTTCCCCACTGCTCTCTGAGTTTCCGCGTTCCGGCCTCAATAAAGTTACTGCCCCTCCGTGTCTCTCAGTGTCCCCGTGTCTCTCTCCGTGTATCCGTGTCTCTCCCCGTGTCTGTCCCCGTGTCTCTCAGTGTCCCCGTGTTTCTCCCCGTGTCCCCGTGTCTCCGTGTCTCTCCCCGTGTCTCCGTGTCTCTCCCCGTGTCTCCGTGTCTCTCCCCGTGTCTCCGTGTCCCCGTGTCTCTCCCCGTGTCCCCGTGTCTGTCTCCGTGTCTCCCCCCGTGTCTCCGTGTCTCCGTGTCTCTCCCCGTGTCTCACCTTGGGTGACGCGTACTCCCACAGCGTCCGCTGTCTCTCCCCGTGTCTCTGTGTCTCTCCCCGTGTCTCTCTCTGTGTATCTCCCCGTATCTCTCCCCGTATCTCTCCCCGTGTCTCTCTCCGTGTCTCTCCCCGTGTCTCTCTCTGTCCCCGTGTCTCTCAGCTAAAAAGGAACTCTCCCAACACGACCGCCACCGCTCCCCGGCGTCACGTGACACGCCTCGTGACGTAGGCGGCGGGCGCGTGAAGCCAGAGGGCCGCCATGTGCAATCGACAACAACCTCAACAACAACATCAACAACATCATCAACAACAATATCAACAACAAACAAGAACAAAAACATTTTGACTTGCAGGAATTCATATTCTTGGTTCTTTCCATAAAGTATCCTAGATAGAAAATTTTAAAAAAATATATCTTTTTTTTTAATTTCATTGAAAATTATTATTTTAAATTGATTTTTATCATTTTTTATTTTTTATCTACGTGACTTTACCGAAAAAAACTTTCGTGACTTGCAGGCATTCATATTCTTGGTTCTTTCCGTAAAGTCTCCTAGATAGAAAATAAAAAAAATTTAAATATCTTTTTTTTTAAAGAAAATTTCATTGAAAATTATTATTTTAAATTTATTTTTATCTTTTTGTTTATCTACGTGACTTAACCGAAAAAACTTTCGTGACTTGCAGGCATTCATATTCTTGGTTCTTTCCGTAAAGTCTCCTAGATAGAAAATAAAAACAAATAAATATCTTTTTTTATTTTAAAGAAAATTTCATTGAAAAGTATTATTTAAAATTTATTTTTTTATTTACGTGACTTTACCGAAAAAAAATAAAGATTAACAACAATAACAACTACGCATGGTGTGGGGGATTAGTGGGGTGTGAAATCCGATGAGCTATAAGCTCTGTTGGGGGGGGTGGGAGGGGGTCGGTAAAGCCACGCCCCCTGCATTGTGGATGACGTCACTTGCTAAGCCACGCCCCCTGTATTGTGGATGACGTCACTTGCTAAGCCACGCCCCCTGCATTGTGTATGACGTCACTTGCTAAGCCACGCCCCCTGCATTGTGTATGACGTCACTTGCTAAGCCACGCCCCCTGTATTGTGGTTGACGTCACTCGCTAAAGCCACGCCCCCTGCATTGTGGATGACGTCACTTGCTAAGCCACGCCCCCTGTATTGTGGATGACGTCACTTGCTAAGCCGCGCCCCCTGCATTGTGTATGCGTCACTTGCTAAGCCACGCCCCCTGTATTGTGGATG